GGTCTCTGCTAATATTATAAATGTGACAATGAACACAAGTCCCCTGTGCCAGGAGAATTTGGGTCATGTATACTGGTAATATAACTATACAACCATACAAAAACTGTTGCAGCTCATTGATGCATAATTAATGTTAATTTTTTAGTATGGTAGATTCTGAGAGAGACTTGAAAAAGCATAATGATCAAAGACCCATTTCATTCTCTTATTATTACTGAAGTTTGAGTCTTGTTTCAATGATAAAGTTTTTTCACACTGTCAGAGAGTGTACTCTTTCATATCATTCAAACTTGCCTATTTTGGGATTGGCTCATACTAGAGATAATTCTGCTCATCACTGATTAAATGGAAGCTTTAGTTTTCTTATTGACTGGAGTTTTCTGTTTAGGGCTGTATTATAAGGCATCCAGTATTGGAGTATCCAATTCTTGTTTAGGGCATAAAACAGATTTATTTTATTTTATTTTATTTTTTTTTTCAGCTATTTCATCACTATGCTTACAAGACCTAACTTATTTTTCTTCTTTTTTCATTTTTTCCTGAATGGTTTACATTTATATCCATTATAATTATTTTTTAAGTCTAGGCTCCATCTTTACTTTTTATTTATTTATTTATTTATTTATTTTTAATATATTTTGTATATTGCCACAGGGTGTTCTTGATTCAGCTATTAACATTTTTCTTCTATGCATCTAATTTCTTTGTTCTAATGTGAACTTTTCTGAATTTGTGTTGATTATCTCCAGTGATTTATTGTTCTGGAAATTGTTTCTGTGCTCTATCACTTTCCTATGAATGGAGGTAAGGCTAACCAGCCTGTAGCCCTCTGAATCATCCTTCTGAACCTTCTTAAAGATGGAAGTGGTATTTGCATACCCACATAACGTTACTTAAATATTTTAATGTTTCTTATGTAATATTCTGCAATCTTGAGGAATATTCTATGCTGTATTGTGGCTGGCAGCAAAGTAGATTAAAATATCCATGTCATACTTATCTGTTGAAAAGTATCCAAGCTCAAGGAACGCTTTTATTTGTGTTTCTTAATAGTGTTTTACTTTAAGCTTCTTATTTATGTAATACACTTCACTGCATCTCTAAAACAACAAGGTGTCAACATGTAAGTTGAATTAGAACTTGACCAGGTTGTTCAAGTGTGAGATATTCTAGAATCTCGGGTATCATCTGAATAGGCTAGATATTCCTAAGAGCTATTAGTGGAAGTCAGGAGATGAGCTCATCTTGTTTGACAGTGGAGAGAGAAGAAAACCCACTGGCCCTATACTTTTAACAATGACACACAATGAGTGCAAAGCTCTCAATTAACCGATGTAACCTGTGGCTCGTTGTCTCCCTCAAGTGGCTAATACCAGAACAGGTAAATTTTTTTTTTTTTCATTTATTAAATCCCGTTTTGACTTCAAGAATTATATTAAAAATATATCAAGATATTTGATGTATATGCAACCAGCCTAACTAGGAATGTGATTGTAACAAGAGCATCATTAAAAGCCACAAAGAATTGTGAGGATAGTTGAAATCTGGGAGGGTTTTCCTTGAATTAACTAATATGACAACATATCTTTATTTGATCATGAACAGTACCAGAGCTCCCTATCACATAGCAGTAGGACACAGATCTCCTGAAAGACAAACCAGTGTTTTTCAAAATCATAAATAGGTTAAAAAAAAAAAAAAAAAATCTGACAGGAAGAACAAAATGAATATATTGCAATTGCCTATGAGTGTTATTTTGCCCCAAGAGGATGTGGATGCCCTGGAGGTGTTGAAAGCCAGGTTGGATGGAGCCATGAGCAGCCTGGTCTGGTATTAAATGTGAAGTTTGGCAGCCCACCTGTGGCAGAGGGGTTGGAGATTGATGAGCTTTGAGATCCCTTCCAACACAAGCCATTCTATGACTCTATGATTCCCTTCATTGTTTTCCGTGTCAGAACACAAGTTGTGAATTACTCATCCTGAACAAGTATCAATATTCAGATTGAGGTCTTAATTTGAACAGAAAAGCTTATATAAGAGCACCGAAGAGATGATGTTGGTAAGTTGTGATTCTTTGTAGATCTGCCATTTTCATAGAATTTTTTTGAAATCCTTTTGATAGATCTTAAATTCTGTCTGTGTTTACATTGGCATATCTGACTCAAACTGAAGGGAGAAACAAAAAAATATATATTGAATGCTTGGAGTCCTAATGGTGTATTTATATAGTAAAAATGTGTCATCCTTTTATTGTTGTTGTTTGTTTTTAAGCTTAAGGAAATTAGGCTACAAGTTTGCATCACCTTAAAGACTAAATGGTGTAAATGCACCTAATAGGATGGAACTGTGCTAAACCCAGATTATTTAATTCTGTTTCTTTAGAAATAATTATGAGGGAAAACAAAACAAAACTAGAAAATATTCTCATGAGGATCTCTACAATTCACTTGTTTGGTTTTGTATTTTTTCAAAGTTTGAAATTCTATTGATATTTACAAAAAGTTTTAAGTAGCTGGTGAAGAGATAGCAAATATATATCTACACTTTTGACAGCTTTACATGTCATTAAAATAATTAACCTAAAAGAAAAGAATCAACTGAATAAGCTTATGGGGTTTAGTTTATGAGTTTTTTGTTTGCTTTTGTTTTTTCTTTTGGAGGTCCAGTACTTGGTGTGTCACATTCTGTTGTACATCTCATTTTGTAATTTGACAAATTAGGCTTGTGTGTTCCTATATGCTTCATTCTGATGATCAGTACTAATAATTTTCAAAGTTTCCGCAGTGTAACTAGGAAGAATCATCACAAGAAACTTCATCTGTATTGAAATTTGGGGGTTTTGCAGTAGTCAAGGCCTGAGAAAATAGAATCCTGAATTGTCTTCCTTGTATGTCACTGGTTTGTAGTGTGATCTTAGGTTCATCCTTCCTGCTCCAACTTTTTTGTGTAATAATTATATATATGTAAATTCCTCATATATCTGCAGTGATAAATGTTGATAACAGCAATAGTGACATTGGGAATCTTCTACCTGAGGGAGACCCAGATTCTGTGTTAACTGCAGTAGGCTGTTTATTATTGACAGTCTCGTGTCAGGACAGAATTATTATCCAGGCAACAAGTGAAAAGATACTGTGTGAATGTAGTTAGGTGAAATGATAACATGAAGGTATTACCCAACCTACCTGCAGTATTAGACATGAAATGCCTCATCCCTTCTCTTTTCCTGCCTTCCTTTCTCTCATTTCAGAAAGACACTTTTGAGTTCCATATTCGTGCGTCTGCCTGGTCTGAAAATTCGGGATAGTAACAGAGCAAAAGTGCTCCATGACAAAAGAGGGATCGTCCCCACTGCTTGTACAGAGTGGCTGCTTGAACAACTCTTATTTGCTCATCAGATCTCACACGTTTCCCACCCTCCGCAGGTCGTGGAAATCCTGTAGCAGCTTCTGTGGCCATCCCCGAGATGCCTTTCCCTCCTGCACGTTCTCTCCGGCTCACGTTTGCGAGTTCTCTTCTTTAGGTTGCCCTCCGGCCCCACAGGCAGCAACCCGCTCATTGCCGGCCACCTTTACTCCCAGGGTGGCATCGAGCTCTTTGCTTTGTCACCGCGTTTGTTTTTGACCAGAGTTATCTCTATTACGGCCTCAGGCAAATGAAGTGACTAATGAGTATTTCTTTTCGGCCGCGGCAGCGGGCTGTTAGTAATTAAGGGCTGTGCTGTGGGGCCATTAAGCTGCAAGTCACAGCGGCCCGATCGCGGCGAGCCCGGCGCAGTCTGTGCCGCCTGCGCTCGCCTGACAATGGGATCATTGACTATTTATTTACTCCGCACAACAACTCTGCTGTTTACTTAATTACAGGAGCTTCTCAGTCACCAACCCCCATCTCTCGAGTGCTCTTCGAGCCCCTCCGGCCCCTATAACCGCTGTTCCCTGTTCGATGCTCCGGTAGATGAAGCAGGGCAACGTCTGAGCATCCTCCGGGGGTGCGGATGCGAGGATGGACATTGGCCGTGAAGGAGAGGCGAAGGAACGGCAGATCGAACCTCAGGAAGGCAGTGGGGCGGGGATAGGCATAGGTGGATTCCTGCAGCGACCCAAGGCATGTCTGAGCCGGCAAACAAAATAGGGAGGAGAAAGGGGGAAATCGGGCAGATGCATGTGGAGCTGCGGGGGCGAGCGGGGCAGGGGGCGAGAGAACACTGGCAATCCTGCAGGGGGCTGTGGAGGCTGCATTTTGCACTACGGCTCGTTACCGGATTCCCCTTCCCCGCTCCCCATCCCTCTGCGCTGTTACTAAGTGAATCGGGCGTGGAGGCCCCCTTGCTGCCTTTCCGACGACGCGGGCTCTGGCTGGCTGCTGCCTGCGTTCTCTCTCGACCCCACAGCCTTGCTGTCCCAGCTCCTTCCGTTCTAGACAAGATTGGGAAAATTGCTGGAGCTCTGTCCCTACTAGTTCAAGGAAGAAGGAGGCTGGGGGGGTTGCAGGAGGGATTCGCCGTGTGGATGATGTACAGAAGCGGCCGAGGGCACCCAAACATTTCTGTCACCCCTGCGGCGACGGGGGCAGGGAAGGGGTTGCTAGATGCCGTAGGGTTGAGGGCTGTAGGGTCCGATCCCTCACATCGCCTCCATACATGCAAAATGGAATTGGAGACCCCGCTCAGAAGCTCGGATTTCCCGTGCTCTGAAAACACGCTGTCCGCCGACCTCGGCCCTTGGAGTGGTGGAACGGGAGCTGGGAGCGGTTCTGCTCAGCCGTCCGCCCGCCCGCACATGAAGCCCTGCCCGCTGCTGCTGCTGCTGGCCCGGCAGTGCTCGGCGCTGCGGAGCCCGGAGCGGCGGCCGCGGAGGAAGCGTGTTTCTGCTCCTTTAAAGGGAGCTGTGCATCGCTCCCGAAGGGAGGCGGGTCTCCTTCCCCTTTTTCCTCCCTCCCTCCCTCCTTCTCTCGCTCGCTCCTTCCCTCCTTTCCCTCCCTTTCCCCTCCCTCCTTCCCTCCCTCCCTCCCTCGGCCGCCGCTCGCTGCCGCCGTCAGTGGTGCCCGGCCGCCGGCTGCACCGCAGCCCGGGCATCCCCCGGCGTCCTACCACGGCCCTTCCTCCCCCCGCCTCCGCCTTCCTCTCCCTCCCCGCTTTCCCGTCCGCAGCTCAAGGTAGGACGACGTCCCGGGGTCTCCGGCTTCCCGGAGGGACTGCATGCGAGTGAGGGGCAGCGGTGGGGTGGTGGTGGCGGCGGGTGGGTCTCTGCGCTGCCGGGATTGCTGCCCACTGCTCTGTCTCCCAGCCAGGTGTCTCTGGGCAAAGCGGGCGCTGAGCTGGCAGACACGGGCACCGCGAGGCTGGCAGGCTCCTGCCGCTGGGCTCTGTAGCCTTCCATTCTTCTTCCTTTTCTTCCTCATCATCTTGCTGTGGAAAGTGGGGCCAGCGTCCAGGGCAGCGTAGCCCACCCGGTGTCCCCTGTCCGACTCCCTCAGCAGCCCTGAGCCGCCGGGCTGAAGGTGGTGGAGCCCGGGGGTGTCCCTCCCGACTGGGAAAGGAGAGGTGAGAAACGAGCTCTAACTTAACTCGAGTTGTGGGTGAGCAACCCACCGTTTGTTGGCTCTCCTTCCGTGAGGTCTCCTCCTGCCCCAATTGCCGGTGCAATCATCCCACCTTTTGGCTGTCGGCAGTCCTGGCGTTGGTTTCCGAACAAATTCAGTATTCTGGGCGAGCATCCATTTCTAACCCAGCCAGGGCGCTGACACTCTCTGTATGAAGCCAGAGATATTCCTGTCTACAGCGGTAGCACGACTGAGCCCTGTGCGCGCTGAAAAGGAATGAATACTTCACAATGACACCTCTCTTCACGTTTCCCTTAGAAACTTTTAGTGGAGCAGGGCGTGGAAAACGTTATACATCCTTCCTCTCCTCCCGAAATCTTTCACAGCTTCCATAGCCACAAAGCAAACTGAGGGGGTGAAAGGCTGATCTGTAGATAATGTCATAAATGTTTGTTCTCGCTGCTTAAAACCTGCTAGGAAAGTGCATTGCTGTGATACCCAAAAGTGCCTGAACAAGTTAATCTATTGCATACTCAGTTTGTTAATTAGAATGAACGTCTTTCCGCTAGCTGAAAATTAATTACCATCTTAAAATGTCATTAATTATCAGCACAGCAGAAACTTGGTTGTAAATTTGGACTGAGCTAATAATAACACACAGAAGGGACCTATGGTTTTTATAACTGGTGGGAGTGAAGTGCAAGTGGGCTGCGATGTGTTTTCCAATGATACTATCAACAATCATTGGAATAACTCAGCAAACATTTAAAAAGGGAGGGCTGTATTACTGCACTGTCAGCAAAGCTGCAACTCATGCCTGGAGATCTGGAGGGGCTGGTCAGGTGTTTCAGTAAACTATGGCTCTCCACACACCAGACTGCAACAGCAGGGGGGTCTGTGGCAGTATGTGAATCTGAAGCACTTACAAAGATTTCCTGAAAAATGTCCAAAAAACAAAGCTTTGGGAATCATATGGTTTACACATCCTAAATTTATATCTGTGGTTGTTGGGAGAAGACAAAACTGTAGATTGAGTGATTAAAAAAAAAATAAAAAAATCTATAATCTGTTCTTAGAGACATAGCTCTGACCTGAAAATGAAAGCCATGTCCTTTTAAAAGTGATATGGTAAAACTATACATCCCAGTAGGTGGCAGCTAGCTGGAAGTGGATTAACTTTTATTATGATAACAGCACATGAAAATACGATCTGAAGGAAAAAAGTGCCTGATGTAATAAGGTAATCAAAATCACATCTCTCCTTTCCGAATGAAGCATTAGGCACATAAGATCACCATTTATACCTGACACATACTGAAGAATTTAGTAGGCTTTTATCACTCAGAGAAGATGTAAAGGCCTTAAATGATCTATTCTCCTTCCCCTCCTGTAGCTGAAATACTATTTTTCATACCACCTTCACTTGGACATTGTCCTTGTGTATTAAAAATGTATTACTACCATGTCTAGTATAGATGTCTAAAATGTAAAACAAATTAAAACGTATAACCAAGGAATTGTGGATTTCCCATTTGCTGATCACTGAAGCAAAGAGGACAGTTTCATAAAGACTTTAATCTGAGAAGCACTGCATAACAGTGGTGACAAGCCCCCAAGAGACAAGACAAGCTTCTCCAGCTGAATATTTTATTAGGGATCTCCAACCGTTGAATTGTATGTCTTATAAGGAAGGAAATGTGAAAGTACTTAAGAACACTTTACTATGTCCATGTTGAAATCATTCTGGAGGGTGGACAAAAGGATCGTTGTAAAAGTTACTGTTTCTTCCTCCTCCCTCTATGAAGATGAAATGAAGCTAAAGTCCAATTTACAGAAAAGGAGTCTAGAGTGGTGTATTCTAATGGTTCATTTAACTGCATAGACTGTAAATAGTCTTCAGACCCCAAATATTCCTTGAGTGCTAAACATCTTATATCTTGCCAGATTTACTTTTTAATAAGGAAGTAATTTTCTTGAGAAGGCAGTACTGGATTAACCACGATCTCCCTTCAAAGTGGGAGTTGAGACTTGAGAGAAGGGAGAGGGTGTTGATGCCGAACATTAGGCAACTTGTGATGGCAGATAAGAAGAGCAATACTCCTGAACCCATAAAATGTCATAAAATAGCGAGCCAGCTAGCATAAACGAGAGTATAAGATGTGTCTCTAAAGAAGCCGATAACATATTTTAATTTCCTTTCCGTGTCGTGAAAGGATTGGAGGGAAAAAAGGCTCTCGGGCACCGGTAGGTCTCGCCGCGTAGGCGACGCGGAGGGGCGCGGGCCGGGAGCGCTCTCCGCGGTGCTGAAAGTAGGGGAGCCGGCCGCGCCGGGCGCTGTCCGTGGTGCTGGGGCTGCTCCCGTCGGCGGAGGGAGGTCAGCAAGGAAACCCCCTCAGTCCCACGCGTGCGGCCGAGGGTGTGATGAGGCTGCTGAGCATTTAATAACAAAAGCAATGAATCCTAAGGTGTTTTATGATTCTGGTTATTCTATAAATGCCTCGGTGATTTAGGACTTCTGTTGGACTTGATTACAGCTTTTTTTTTTTTTTTTTTTTTTTTTTTTTTTTTTTTTTTTTTTTAATAAGATTCATTAAAGGTGTCACTTTGTCCCGGGTTTGTCTTGTCTATTGAAGCTGTTAAGGAATCTTATGATTTCATAGACGCTTACCAAAACTAAGCTAAATTAAAAAAAAATCACTTTGTCAGGAAGCTACCTACAAGCAGTCAGAATTAAAAAGATGCCTAATGTCCTCTATTTCAGTAACATTATAGGAAAGATGAGGAAGGAAAGAAATGCTCACAGTGTTCAACAATGTGAGTTTTATTTCTTCTTCAACTAAGATAAAAGATGAAAAAGTAGAAGAGGGAAAAATGGGATATAGCAAATACAAGAAAGAGCATCTCTATGTGCATTTTTTTCTCGGAGATATTCTAAGTGTGAACTGAAGGAGTCGCTAGATATCCTTGCTTTTAACACTAGGTGCTCTTTTTAAAGTGCTCCAGTAGTCAAACCGTCTGATTGAATTCCCTGCTAGACTGCAGAACTAGCCATTCATGATACTTATTTCTGACACTGCAGTTATGCCTCCATCTTAAAAAGAAAAAAAAAATCAATGATGTTTAATAATCCCTTCACAGAACGTACATTTATTTTCATCAGCATTTTACAGCTTTTTAAGTAAAAGCATGCTGAGGAAACCAAAAGCCATAATGATAAGAAAGTTACTGCAAATTGCAAACACTTTCGGAGATACAAAATACCAACATTACAAGTAATAATTTAAGTGTTGCTGTTACTTATTTACATGTCCATGATATAGAGGTATCATTTAAAAACAAACTGGAACTCACCTTTACCATGTTCTCCTTCTGATAGATTTCTTAGGCTATTCTAATTTTCTTGGCATCACCAGCATTTAATTCTATAGAGTCACATTTTTTTTGTATTCATCTGTATGTATGTGTGGGGGGAAGTCTCTCAGTGATATTTTCTCTGGTAATAAAAGTCAGGGAGGAAGATAAAGGAGGCAGAAGATATCTACAGGCAGAATATAGAATAGAATGAGTTCGTTTTCCTTGTGAGGAATCTAGGAATTGTATTTTAATATTTTTAATAATGCTTAAGTATACTCAGCAAAAGCTTCTCTTACACTGTGAAGTCTGACAGTCCTAGTTATTTTCATGATTACACTCACACAACTAATTGTATTTCAGAAAAAGTCTCAACTATTCTAGAGAGTGAGTTCTTTGGAACATCTAGCCAAAAGACAAAAGTCCGTGGCTGCAGTTGCAGATACAAACTCAGTACACCACTATCAAACTAAGCAGTGCTATTGTTCCCATTGAGAACTGCAAACTGACAAACTACATGCATCTTTCAGTACAAGAAGGAACAGCAATACCTGTGAAAGGAATGCTGTGCTTGAAAAAAAAAAAAAAAAAAAAAAAAAAAAGATAGTGACAAAATAGAATGCAAAATATAAATCTGTAAATCCACAAGTTACTGTTTAGAGCAAAGCTGAAATACAAGTCTATGCATTCAACAAGGCAGCTCTAGCACTGCAGGTTCCTGTTTACCTTGCAAAAGCAGGCTGGTACTATGTTACCACTGGATCCGGGGAAAGTTCCTAAGAACGTGCAGTAGGCAAACTATCACACTTTCCCTTTTTCATGCATTAATGTGAGTAGCAGTCAGTAAATGTAAATATCATGATCTTTTTTTAGCCTTAACGTTACTTTGACAACATGCATGATTTTATCGTCAGCATTCTCTTTCACAGCTCTGAAGCTAAGTGATTTCGAGCCAGCCAGTCAGCTATTAAAATGCATGAATTGATTTTTATGAAACAGATTCCCTTCTCTCCTATAGCCCTTTCCTCCACCCCCGCCCCCGGCACAGACACTTACAGCTATTGTTCAGAACAACTGAAAGACTAATAACAATTATAAAGCTGTAAATAAAACCGAGCTGTTTTTTTCCTCCGACAACGCAAGGCGATCAGATCTGTTGCATAATAGAAATCAGGAAGGCTGTCTGGCAGGCAGCCTTAAGAAGAGAGGAGCTATCTCAATTTCTCTCACTTAATCTTGGCTTCGCGTCAGAAGCTGTGTAGCAGTGCAGTAGAATGGGAGCACGGCAAAAGCTTCGCCAGTGAAACGGCTGGTGCTCATTGACTCTCGCTATGTGGTGATACCTCAGCGATTTCTCGAGCTGGATTACCTATTGATTTTCCTCCTTTCTTGCCTCCCAGGTTTACTCGGCTGGACGTTGTGTGTGTTTGGATTTCTCAAGGATTCTCCCCCGATTAACATGGATGTCCCACCATTCCTTGCAGTTGAAGGTTGCTCCTTGGCGCAGTGAATGAAGAACATGCAGGGATTGCTAATGGGTTTGGGAAGCGTAGACTCTCTCTTCTCTCTGTGACCATGCCGTGATCGTGTCTGAGGGCCATCAGTTTACTTATTCTCATTCTCACCTTGCCGAGAAACCTGACGGCTTAGAAGGGGGAAGTAAGGCTGTGCGTGTGTGTATAGAAACATCATGAAGATTATTTCCCCTATTCTAACTAATCCAGTCTTCAGATGCACCATTAGACTCCTTCTTTGCTTACTGTGGATTGGATATTCTCAAGGAACCACACATGTATTAAGATTTGGTAAGATTTCTCGACACTTTTTCATTGTGCGTTTCAGCCCGAATGCGATTTACGTAGGATTGACTCCTAAGGGGGTGTTGGGGGACAGCTGGGATGTGCTATCGGAGTCGGGCACCGAAGTCTCTGTGTATTTTGCATCCGGAGGCATGAATTGCTGTGTGTTTTTTTCTGACGCTGCAGCTCTTTGTAGCCGTAGTAACGGCACGATGATGATAATTATAATAACAATGGAGAGAAAAATGACTGGCAAACGCTTTTGCCTAAGAGGCTGCGGAGCTTGCGTGGCTCCCTCATAATGTACCTTATTTTGTTTCCATAGTAGTGGAAAGCAGAGTGCTTCATCAGTTAAAACCTGTCAAGTAGTTGTTAAGTTTCGGCCGCCCGCCTCTGCTCCATCTGAGCGGATGTCGCACGGGAGCGACGCTGTAATCCTCGCGCGGGGCTGGCTTCCCGCTCGCTTGCCTCTTCTCTGGCGTTTAGGGTTAGTGATGGTTTGTTCCTTGTTCCACGCTTGTGAAAGAATCATTACGTTACGCTATAAAAACAAGGCTCTTCTATGTGAGAAAAGTTGCATGAGTTCCAACACCTCCCCCCTCAACGAAAAGAGAGAACAAAAATCATAGATCAGAATGAGATTTCCAAGAAAGCTGAGAGTTTAAAGTCTGTCCCGTCTGGACAGTGAAACTAACCTCAGCAGCACTGACCGTGCGCTCATTTGTGTATAAGTGCATAAGAAAACAAGCGAGAGAGACGTTCCGGCCACCATGCCTGCTCTGTCAAAGTTTTGCAGTAGGCAGGGACAGGGTGGAAGGGAAAGTGAACCTCACTTCCTAGCCGAGGTGTGCGGGCCAGGAGGGCTGCGGTCCCGGAGGAGTGGGCGAAACGTGGAGGGAGTGGGCAACCCGAAAGTGGCTCCCCCGGGCAGGCGGCAGCCTCGGTGCCTCACCCTCGCACCGACCGCTGGGAGCTGCAGCAGCCTCTGCATCTCTTTCCGTGGGGCACTGAAAACTCTCGTCTTCTCCCGGGAGTAGAGCCTCGGTGTGTTTCTAATTTTGTTTAAATTCCCCCCCCGTGCTCACTTTTATTTGGAGGGGAAGATTAGTAATGATTAAAAAGTCACCAGCCTGTTACTGATCTCGTGTGCTGAATTCCTAGTAGCACTTATTTTCTGCTTCCATCTGGTCTAAAGGTGGTGCTTAAGGCACGTTGCTCTTAGCAACCGTCTTGAGGAATGCTTGTTTCTTTGGACATGGCTAAGTGAGTCCGTATATCATTGCCAGGTTGATTTTGCATTCAGTCTGCTCTATAATCATGGCTGTGAAATTAGTACCGGAGCTGTGTGATGTAGCGCAGTCCAGTTCGGGCAAACCAGGATTCGTGACTGGTGCCAAGGGTTGGACCTTTGAATTATTTTCAAGTGTAGCTGTTGTGTGTAAACAAGCATCTTCCTGGCCATATTACAACCAAGAGGTGAGCTTTCCTCCTTTTCCATCCTCTCTGAATTGGTAATCCAGAGTACCTACAGAGCTACCCTGCTGAGCAGTGTTTGGGAGAGACTTGAACAATAAATGATCCTGAGACTGGAGGTGGTACAGTGGGACTCTGCCACCCAGAGTAACCATGGTCCCACATGCACTCATTTTTCTAGGCTAACTTCCGCACTGCCCTCGGGTCACACAGTCAGGTAACAGGGTACACTCACTCCATTGTTTGTAGCAGCGAAGACTGAGTCTGCTTCTAAAGCACAGAATGATTTTTCTGGTCTTTAAATTGTCACCAACCCAATTGTAAGGCTTTGAAGCAGGGAGTGGTTGTTTAGCTTATCTTAGTATGAAAAATCTTAGAAGCAGGAGAACTGGAGGAAGACTTCCCCCTTGCTCAGCTGGGCCTGTTGCACATTGCCTCTTTAAAGAGTCTGGACTGAGCCTGGTCCAGGTGTGCAGTGACTCTGTGACTATGAAAGATGTCCAGCTCCTTCCCCAGCGGTGACAGCTCCGTGCAGGGCATGTTGGGAAGGAGGGAGGATCTTTGTTTATTTCTTGAGAGGAGAATATCCCTCCGCCCCTATCTCCTCTGAGTGTCCTTGAGACCGAGGGCTGGGATGCCCATCTCTGGCCGTGGATTACTCCCCAAGCAGCGAAAGCTGAGGAGTTCCCTGCAGAAGGCAGCCTGCCAGCCCCCGCTCTTCTTCCTCAGCCAGCAGTGCTATGGCAACAGGGAAGATCTTGGAGCCTGCCAGAGCCCCATCCCACTCATTCCTCCTGTGCAAATTAACCACCATGGATTCACATTGTCCTTCCTACGGCTTCTGTAATTGTTGGGACTAGCCAGCATCTCCTTTCTCTCTCTCAAGGTATCTTTTAGCAACCACACAGGGAGCTGTAGCCACCTGGGATGGCACGGGTTGCTTCTGCCAGTGCTTCATGAAGCAGGCACTGGGAGAGGTTGTGCAGTGTCTCCATTCGCACCCAGCCCGGTGTCTGTTGCTGCCAGAGTGGGACAGCCAGGTGTGCAGACATCGCATCAGCCTCATCAAAGTGATACTCTGCTTCATGTGTGTGAGCAGCTTCCCTCTGCTGCTCCTGAATGGCTTCCCACAGGCAAGCCCTGGAAAAGCAGAAAGCTTGTGCCCACCATAGCCGAGGGTTTCTAACGGGAGCTATAACAATTGCTCAGTTAAACCCGAGCCAGTGCTGTGCATATCAGGCCAGATCCCAGCCTGGCAAAGGAGGATAGCAGCCTGGAGAATGAGAGATATTAGTCTCTCCTTTGCTAAGTGTGATTGAAGCCTTTTCCTTATTACTTGGTACCGTTAGAAAAGCCCAAATCTGTGACCGTCGGCGGATCCCCTCCATTATCGGGGACTGCTTTTCACAGTTCTCTTATTCCGTGCCTCTGTGCTGTGGAGGAACAGACCCAGGACAGCAGCTCCCAAGAAACACCAAGTAGTGGAGCCGGGCTGGGCCGAGTCGTTCCCGAGCCCCATTGTCGCCGGGTCCCGCAAGCCCCCTCGCTCCTGCCTTTCCCCCCCTCGGGGCACGCCGGCACTCGTACGGCTGAATGAGCGAGCCATTAAGAGCTGTTAACTACCAGTAACTCTCCACCTGAGTTCACGCAAACCCATTTCTTCTCGCCCAAGGCAGTAAGAGGCCGGGCTGCTTAAAACCCCTCTTTTCTTCCCTGTTCCTATGCGGTGCTCTTTGAACTCCACAGTACTGTAAAAGGTTCCTCTTTATTTAAATTACCCTTTTCGGGCCTTGTCTCTGCTACTGAGAGCAACGCGGAACAGAACCCTGCTCGTCTTTCCTACGGCAAAGGTTGGTGAGCGGGACGGGAAAGCGGTTTGGCCCTAATTCCCTCTCGAGTTACTCAGGTGAAAATGTGTGAAAGATCAAGAATCTTCCCCAGGGAGCTCACAGACCCGATAAGGAGGATATAAAGAAAATTAAAGGTCTATAGTCTAACCTCTCTGCTAGTTTGGTGTTGCAGGTGTCTGCGGTGAAAGCTAGCTTCAGGCGGATGGGAAAGGGGCGTAGGTGTTGTGGGATGGAATGCATCTTGAAAAAGAAGGGGGGGAGGCAGAGTTTAAAAGCAAAAGAAAGCTAAGACAAAAGAGGTGAAATACTTTTCAAGGAAAGATGGTGGTGTACTCTTCCAGGAATAATTTCCTACTACTGATTTTTTTTTTTTTTTTTAAACTAGAGAAAAGGAAAAACAAAACTAACACATCAAGCCATTACAAAAACTAGCATTTTCCCGCTGTCCTTCGTGAAGCAAAATAATAAGAATAGTTGCAAAATAGAGCTATGTATGGTCGATAGCGTAATCTGTGAGTCTGAATAGAAAAAAAAAAAAAAAAAAATAGAACAACTGGGCTCCACTGTGGGATCTCAGAGAAGGGAATTACTCTGCACTGGGGAATTCTGTCGTGAAAGTGCGGCACAGGTTTTGTCTGCCATACTACTTAAATGAGCCCTCTTTGCTCAAAAGGATTGAGTTTATCTACACAGGAATGTTTTTACAATGGGGCTCGGCAAAACCAGCCAGGAGGCTGCATCATCGCGTTAGCTGCCTGTGCAGTTGTCAGTGGGGGCCGGCCCATACGTTTCTGTGATTTAAGTGACCGTTCTTATCAGATGGTTGTTAGACACAGCAGAGACATGGAAGAGCAGGGAGAGCTAGCTCTGTACAAAAGGCTTTGTAACCAGAGTTTAGATGAGAAATGCCCGCTGATTGAGCTGGAGTTTTACTAGAACCTCGATGTGCACCATCTTTCTTTTGCATTTTACGCTGGCACTTTTTTTTACTGGAAGGACATAAGCTTTCTGCGTATGTTTAAATGGCAGAACGTACAGAGCTGGCTTTGATCAGATCGAGAGTGTGATCAAAATCTTCAAAGCAAATACTTGTAGTAGCCCTTAGAGGTCTGTGTGTTGGTAATTCCAGTATATAGAGCCAATGAAAATTTTACTGCCAAGTACAAGAAGCTTTAAATACACGTTAACATCCACACAGAGAGGAGTTCAAAATCGGTCTTACAAACAGCAACAGAAATCTTTGAAAGAGGAATAAGGTTAAGAGCCTCGGGAAGGCAGCAAGAAGGTGAGAAGCATTGTTATTGACTGCTCTAGATTAAACGGCACAGAGGAAGATTTCAATTTGATAACGTCACAGCCCTTCCTGTTTTTCTTTGCTACTTCTGCTGACAATTTGGTAAGGTAATTAAATTGGCTGATTGAAGTCGCAGTGGTCATGGAGCGATAAAGACCATTTGGATTTAATGGAATTTAGAAACAACAGTGCACTGCACACAACTCTTACAGAACGAGAATTTTAATGACTCATTCAGGGTGCTGACTACATAGAACGTCCTGGATGAGTTTAATTGAAAGGGCAAAGCAGATTAGCTGTATACAGTCTTTTTTGCACTAGATAGGGGAATTAGAGTTATCCCTTTAAAAGACTCATTATTGCATTATCAAGATTTAATGTAGGTTAAG